GATTGATTCTTTTTTTTACTTTTTCGATTTTCGTTTGTATTGATGACGGCCATCTTGGATTTGACCTATTTTGGGTGTTTCCCCAAGTCAAATTTTGGTAAACTATTTTTTTTTTTAAAGTAGACCTATCAAGGCAGTGAAATGCGTTAAAAAACCTTTTCCGTCAATTTTGTTGAACCTTCATGAAAAATAAACCTTAATTACCGGACTACTACCCAGCGCGGGACGCTTTCGTTATCATCCGGTGAACGGGCTATCGACGTGAGGAGCGTGTTTACAGTCACCGGGCCACTTCCGGGACTACGTCATTCGCATTTAACTTTCGCGTTTCAACTTGGGAATCATCTCGTTACACTGGCAACAAATTCAATAGGTAGTTTTGTTTCTAATGACAAGCTCATAAACACTTAATTATTTCGCCTTGAAACTTTAGTACTGAGTGCAGTAAAACTAAAAGAACTTTCAATATTTCTTAATAATGTTTTTTGTATGCACATTATACACCATATATCGTTTCAGGTATTGTAATTTTGTTTTATAATATGTGCATGTCAATAACTTTAAAAAAGTACCATTACCAATTCACATGGCTGGAACCAACAGACGCTTTAACGACCAGGATACTCCACGAGAAATACACTAAACCACGAAGCTCTTTCTTCATCAAATGTACAGCTTCAGCTAACCATGTAATAGGTACTACAGAGGATATTGATTTGTTCTCACACAAGCTCAGGAAAGATCCAAGATTCTGAAAATTTCAAATGAAATCCCTGGAAACAACAAGCCTTCAAAGTGTCAATCTACACTCCCTTTACACGGATTCGAAAGCAGATTTGTATACTGCATAAATATTTGCTGAGGGTAAACGTCGACGTCTTTGAAAAAAGTACGTCCATCTGTATGCATGGATGGTCACACATTTTCAAATGGTTGAACGACCTATGCTCCATAACACTTGGTGAGATATCTTTCAGACGAAGTCATTTGATGGGCTCACATGCGTCAACAACTAAATGTATAGTTTATAAGTCAAGTTAATACCACGGCACGAAACAATTCACTTGCGTGGTGTTATAATACCACCATTCCCAGTGAGCCTATTAATGTTTTTACAAAGAACTAGTGAAATAGTTACTCTGAGATATGTAAGAAAAGGTCTCATACCGTCTCAGAATAGGTCTTCTGCAACCCATGCTTGCCGTAAAAGGTGACTATGCTTGTCGTAAAAGGCGACTAACGGGATCGGGTGGTCAGGCTAGCTGACTTGGTTGATGCATGTCATCGATCCCAATTGCGTGGATCGATGTTCATGATGTCAATCACTGGATTGTCTGGTCCAGACTCGATTAATTACAGACAACCGTCATATAGCTGGAATATTGCTGAGTGCGGCGTTCAACAACAAACCAACAACAAGAACAACAACGTCTCAGTATCAGTTCACAGAATATTAAATGCAGTCAATCACATACTTTGTCATTCCAAACAACACCAAAATGCCACACACACACACACTCACTCACTCACCGGTCGACATACAGGATTCATCTTTTAAGCTTACTTGTTCAGATTTCTACTCGGAGTTACGATATAAGGAACAGTCGAACCACTGTGAATGCTGTAGTCAACTCATGAAATGAATCATGATCATATCTCTACAGAATTTGTTTGTTGTTTGCACTCAGCAATATTCCAGCCATATGACGGCGGTCTGTAAATAATCGAGTGGACCAGACAATCCAGTGATTGACGTCATGCAACTAAGTCAGCGAGCCTGACCGCCCGATCCCATGAGTCGCCTCTTACGATAAGCAGAGTCGCCTTTCACAGTAAGCATAGGTTGCTAAAGAACCTGTTCTAACCCGGATCTCACCGGTTCTCTACAGTACAAGTTCAAGTAAATATTCAGAAGTAGATGCTAAAAGGATACGAATCTTTTAGAAAGTCTCTAATTGGCATCTGGAAGACCAAACTCTGGGGCAGTGATGACTCATAAGACACAACTGCCGGGGGCTAATTTGATATCACGTGAACAGACTTTTCTGATGTTTGTAAACAATGGAAACCATTCAGTGCAATTTTTCTTATTGTTTCGCATAACTGCCTATACGTCTTGAAATTAATTAAGCACACCTTGATTTTTCAACCATGTGTGTCTAACAACATGGTATCTGTCCAGTCTGAAATGTGATTGGGAAAAATACATGCCATCAGGACGATAAGGCTCTGGACCGTCGAAAAAATTACTGATTGCAAAGTTCAATGACTCTGGCCCCGCCTTCATGCCTTAAAATCAACTCTTAAGTTTGGTTGTTGTTGAACGCCGCACTCAGCAATATTCCAGCCATATGACGGCGGTCTGTAAATAATCGAGTCTGGACCGGACAATCCAGTGATGGTATCATGAGCATCGATCCACACATATGGGATACGATGACATGCATCAACCAAGTCAGCGAGCGTGATCCTATAAGAACACTCTTTAACTTACATGTTCAAAGTTAAAATCAATCCAGCCACTTTCAGAGCCTTTCTTTTGAAGGCATGCGACAACAACACGACTTGTTATGATGTTGCTAATATAAAGGTTCAGGAAAACAATTCATGCAGACTGAGTCCAAAGATAATTTATTTAACACCACCATGAGACACACCTTTTGATCATTTGAGGAAGGCTTTGTTGGTGGCTGCACTCAACGACAGGTACCCGTGGACTTGAAGAAAAGAAACACTAGCAGTATAAGAGTTAGTGGCAAACACAACCTCTGTGTAATGTGTCTCCGCAGAGTTCTCGTTTTGTCAAGATGAATATATATGGAAAGCTCGACAATGAATTCGTTGTTAGAAAAAGTTAAAAATGTCACCAATCCCCACGAGCCGCCGGAGCAGTCCTTTAGTCCTTTGTTGTTCAATGTGTGGCTGTATGTGTGGGCTCCAATGCATGTGAAGCCGCCACCAATGTTCTTTTCTCAGGACGGCCATGCACATCTAACCCTTGGGGCCAGTTTGATGAAACGGTATCGAATTTGTTGAGGCCATGCATAGCAGATGAGATCTTGTACCTTTTTCTGCTTATATATTACCAGGGGCGGTCGGGTAGCCTAGTGGTTAAAGCGTTGGCTCGTCACGCCGAAGACCCGGGTTCGATTCCCGACATGGGTACAATGTGTGAAGCCCATTTCTGGTGTCCCCCGCCGTGATATTGCTGGAATATTGCTAAAAGCGGCGTAAAACCATACTCACTCACTCACTATATATTACCAACATTACATACAAAAAACTTGCTCATTTATATACAATTCGTTATAGTTACATTAACTTTTCGCTTGGTTTCAAACAAGCGCATTAAGACATGACTGAAGCCGAGTCGCTCGTCATCTAATGGCAAAGAAACAATGTCAATTTCCGTTAAATCAATCCTATTTTAGGGTAAATATGCAATATGCTGCTACTGCATTCATTATGTCGCAATGTGGCGTGCATTTGTAATAGGTGATTCTTCGGGATCTATAAGAGACGGGTCTTGAACGTTGCCTAGAGCACAATTTGTTTCCAAGCTTTGGGCACGAGATCCCGCATCAGCCCCGTTAGTCGCCTCTTACGACAAGCATAGGTTGCTGAAGACCTGTTCTAACCCCGATCTTCACGGGTAGAATGCTGCTGTTGCAGTGTACACGTGATGTTTTGGTTTGGTTTGTTGTTTAACGCCGCACTCGGCAATATTCCAGCTATATGACGGCGGTCTGTAAATAATCGAGTTTGGACCAGACAATCCAGTGAATAATATCATGAGCATCGATCCACGCAATTCTGATCGATGACATGCATCAACCAAGTCAACGAGCCTGACCACCCGATCCCGTTAGTCGCCTTTTACGACAAGCATAGTCGCCTTTTACGGCAAGCATGGGTTGCTGAAGATCTATTCTAGCCCGGATCTTCACGGGTCTATTTACAGATGGCCGTCATATCGCTTGAATATTGCAGAGTGCGGCGATAAACAACAAACAAACAAACTTAAGACTTGATTTTAAGGCATGAAAGCGGGCCTGACTCATTGAACGTTGCAATCAGTAACTTTTTCGTCGCCCACGAGCCTTATCGTCCAGAGACTGGACACGAATGATACTATGTTGTTAGACACACATGGTCGAACAATCAGGATGTGTTTAATTAGTTTCCGACCCGTGAAGATTCCGGGGTAGAATAGGTCTTCAGCAACCCATGCTTGTCGTAAAAGGTGACTAACGGGATCGGGTGGTCAGGCTAGCTGACATGGTTGATGCATGTCATCGATCCCAATTGCGTGGATCGATGCTCATGATATTAATCACTGGATTGTTTGGTCCAGACTCGATTTTTTACAGACCGCCGTCATATAGCTGGAATATTGCTGAGTGCGGCGTTAAACAACAAACAAACAAATAATTAGTTTCCAGGCGTATATGCAGTTATGTGAAACAATATGTAAAGCATATCAACGGCATCCTCGGTTCAGCATTGTCATTTGGTTGTTCATCCCTTGTACCGTTAATAATATACCTTAGCTAATTACTTAGCGAACGAGGATTGTTGTAGATATCTCTCCCTGACGGATTTTCTATATATCAACTTCATCAAATAAGTAATGACAAATGAAACCCCATGAAACATGGAAAGAGCAATCACATACTATTAAGTCTTCCTAGCCCTACCAGGCATTGTTTGTTTTTGGCATCTGCGAGGATGGGAGAACGCCTTGAGCAAATCCATAAAACAATTCCCGGCTATCCGGTTTGCACATAAGCGTTGATGAAAATCGATCGGATACTCCTTGGTGGTGCAGTTTACTTGTCACGCCATAGCTGAAAGGATTTATCTCCATGACACATTGTTAAAATACCATTGTTACCATTTATCAATTTTTTAACACACACAATCCCAAAACACATGATCCTAAAAATTACAAAAGGTAACAGCATATCGATCGTGCAAGCACAGCCTCGTCCTGAGGTGCAATGGTTATAAATGAACTTATGCCGCAAATGAGTTTTGTGGGAGGGTCGACGTCAGTCGTCAGCGACATGGATAGGAGCATTCTCCTGGCAGCTTCTTTATCGGTTTGCACGGCAGCACTTTCGATAAGTGAGTCGAAATTTGTTAAGCAGTTTTCTGAAACTAATCCTCCAGTGTTTCAGAACAAATCGTTTGCCTTCAGCTGCGTTGGGAGATGTGCCTCCTCAAGCACCTGCCGAGCCACCAATGTTCTTTTTGCCCAGAAAAAATGCACCTATTACACCTTTGAAGATTTAGAAAATCTGTCTGGCTTTGATGATGTCCTGTATCGCAAGGTAAGTATTCATTAACTCTGAGTGATTGAGTTACAAATTTACGTACACATATAAAATATATATCAATGAGCAAACACAAGTTACCCTGCATTTCCACAACTTTCACTCGTTCACAGTACTGGAACTGCGTTCAATCGTTGGGTGGATCCTTGAAGATCCGGGGTAGAATAGGTCTTCAGCAACTATGCTTGTCGTTAGGTGCGATCGGGTGGTCAGGCTCGCTGACTTGGTTAATGCATGTCATCGTATCCCAATTGCGTGGATTGATGCTCATGATATCAATCACTGGAGAGTCTGGTTCAGACTAGATTATTTTCAGACCGCCGTCATATAACTGGAATATTGCTGAGTGCGGCGTTAAACAACAAATAAAATCCCCCAAAGCTCTCCATTTTCACTCAACAGTTTTGGATGATGTGAGTAAATGAATCTTTGTTTTTGAAATAGTAGTTGCCTTCATGTTGACCATAGTTAAAGAGTTCTTGATATCCCGAAGGACCACCCGAGGACTATAAGGCTAACTTGAGGCATGGTACTTTTGGGTTTACCTTGACACGTAGGAGGAAAACGGGTAGTAATGTTATCAGAATAAAAGCGCATTGGTGAAAAAATGAATTTCAGAGCCTTTGGACAATGCGATGCTTTACTTTTAAACACTTCTAGCTTGTTTTCACGTTTCTGGAATATTTCATAGTATACGTCCTGTAACCAACAACGTTATAACATTTGTTGAAATGTTGAATGGGATTTGATCAGAATATTAAATACTGATGGTTTGAGGAATATGAGAATTTAGAAAAAAATAGACATAAAATGATGATATATTTAGAAATTTGGAAAACAAGCGAGGCTTTGTTTCTCACTCTTTCTTCTGCAATAGTTTCTTCTGTGGTAGTTTCTTCTGTGGTAGTTTCTTCTGTGTCTTTTCCTACAAGCAGAATACATCTAGTCGCAGCAGCAGCCAGTAGAGATAAAATACATTGCTGAATTAAACATGATTAAAATGGTCATTAATATTCTTTTGGTTTTGAAAACCTACATCATGTGTACAATATTTAATTAATGACCAGATGTGTCCAACATGCATCTGTATGAATAATGGGGCATCCAACAAGTGTGTTTTGACCGTCGCAAAAATACTCTGTTTGATTTTTAGCTGTTCATGTCCCTGAAATAGAAAAATAGATTTACAGAAGGACTGTCACAGATATTAAAAAATAACCAAGGATCATAATCAGGGTTCGTCTAGATCGGGGATACAACTCTCTGCAGCCCAGAGTGCTGCCACAGACGACTTGGCCACCAGAGCCCCATGGGTAGCGAGACTTAGGTGAGGTGAAATGGGGTTAACGTCGCGTCTAAGTTTATTGCACTTATATAGCGACGTGATGCTTGTACTAGTCCGGACTGGTCCCGATTTTATAGTACTAACCCACTGAGATACTATGTCGCAGTTTAACATGAATACCCCACTCAGACACAGTATTTGGAGCCGACCAGTCCTTGTTTTAGCCCCTTAAATGCCGAGCGCCAGACAGGGTGACAACAAGTACCATCTTTTAACATCCTTTGGTATGACGCGGCCGAGGATCGAACCCCGGACCTTCCGCTCTCTAGGCGGACGCTCTACCACTAGACCACGGAGGCGGTCAGCGGGACTTAGCATTGCATTTAGGAGTATAGATGAAATCACTTCGTTTATTGATAAATACCATTCGTAACGATAATTATTTGAGTGTGTATCACTGTGTATCAAAAATGAAAACGATATTTTTAAGAAAGTTAAACCCAATAACCCTTACAAAATGCTTACTCTTGTTAACAGACGAGACGTTTGTAAAGAATAAACGCACACAAATCGGTATTATAACTTCCGCTGCCATATTCCATGCATTGATACATTCTGAACATCCATCTACAGCCACTACACATTCAAGTCGTTTGTTTTGTCCCAGGTGCACGAGAAAAAAGCATCATTTACCTTTTTGGCCTGAATGTACGAATGTGATATTTTAGCGAGTGAGTGAGTGAGTTGTGTTTAACGCCGCTTTTAACAGTATTCTAGTTACATCACTGGGTAAGCTTAATGTGGGAGGAAAGCCCGAAGTGATGCAGGTCTCAGACGTTTACTACTTCGGTGAAACCCACGAGCACGGGCATAGTGCTGACAAACCTAGAAACACAATCGGGGCGAACCGGGATTCGAACCCACAATCATAGGTTTCTGGCGTGTCCAAGGGACGCAACTCTGCACAGCTAATCGCGGCTCCTTAGACGACTGGGCCACCCGTGTCCCCTATGTGATATTTTAGGAACACCATCACAATACGCCAAGTACATTGGGCATAAATGATCATCTTGGATTATTCAAGTCTACAGGAGATGGGAACTGGTATTAGATCAAACGTTGTCTGAACTGGACTAAACTTTCTTACACTCAGGCCGCTATTGTGTGTCAAGAGGAGAATATTTCAATCAATTCAATCATTTGTTTCATATCTTCCAGGGATGGTCTGTCATATGGGGCTGAGAGCACGAAGAATGAAGTAATACGTTGTGCACTTCGGCATGCATTTATCAAATACACGGCGGGACAAGCCGATGGAACTCTGAATGTTTTACAAATTGCAACGCCATCTGGCGCTCGTTATCGTCAACGTTGTGCCTTAGCAGCTTAGTGTCTTATTTGGGCACTGAACGTCTTTGTACACATTGATCTTTCTTTACACATTTGTTCCATCTTTTAACGTATTTAGGGCGGTCGGATAGCCTAGTGGTTAAAGCGTTCGCTCATCACGCCGAAGACCCGGGTTCGCTTCCCGACATGGGTACAATGTGCGAAGCCAATTTCTGGTGTCCCCCCGCCGTGATATTGCTGGAATATTGCTATAAAGCACCATGAAATCAAACTCACTCACTCTTGACATGAGACGTCTTTTGTTTGCGAGTTGTTAATTGGTATTGTTTTCAATGGTATTAGTATTAATATTTATTTTCTATTCATTATTCTTATGTAAATAATGTCCTTTCATTAGACCATTCATTCTTTATTCGTAGCATTTGACTATTATCGCGTACTTTTGTCCTCGATTTCAGCCTTGGAGTTTTTTTACCGAATGACTGCCCAAAATTTGTCCAAGACATTTTACTTAAGCTGATCGATGATCTAATATAATTCAAATATTCAAATATCCCATTCCCTTCCACTGATTTACTCACCTGAAGTAGCAACAGAAGAGATCAATGACACCGCCTCATCTGTTTTATATTTAGATAATTTACTGTTACACACAGAACATATGTTATGATTGTTTGATTACGTTGCTGCATTTTGAAGTGACGTCACTGTTTGTGAACGATCACGATATATGATCTGGATTGTGACAATAACCAGTAAGTCTTAGAAATGGTCCTACTGTCAAATATGCAATATGCCATGGCAATTAACCTGTCGTATGTGATGTATGGTATAGTTCATACTGTCCCTCACTGTCACGGTGATAATGGTGAGTGAGTGAGTGAGTATGGTTTTACGCCGCTTTTAGCAATATTCCAGCACTATCTCGGCGGGGGACACCAGAAATGGGCGTCACACAATGTACCCATGTCGGGAATCGAACCCGGGTCTTCGGTGTGACGAGCGAACGCTTTAACCATTAGGCTACCCGACCGCCCCCAATGACAAACGAAGAACTGCAATAGAAGAGAAGAATCTCCCGATAATGGTGTGTGATATAAACCTCGGTTTGTATTAAAGATCCTAATAAAATGTGTACATAGAACTAAATATGTAAGGGGTACCCGGAAGTAATTACCACCAACTCCAAAAACAGTCATTAGTTAGATTAACACTGGTTGCCTCAGGGTGAAAGGTTTTCTCTCCTATATAGCAAGCATATCGAGACTGAATGCCAATATTTCCAAACTAAAACTGTGGTGAGGCTAACAGCTCTTGGACAATTTTCCGGGTTGCCATTGTTTCTTCCAAAGTATGTCCTTACCTGTCGAGTGTGAGTGATCAGTTCAGTTTAACCCCAAAAGAGCTAGAGTACATCATTCAGTTTGGTGCCGGAGGAAAAACGACTGTGACAAAAGTGAAACTCCAAACCTCGACCATGGTGTTATCAGATCATAAACGGGCCTAATTTGGGATATGAACCTACTTCGGGATATAAGGCGGTGCCTTAGACAGTCGGCTCACATGCATCTCCCCGAGGCAAGAGAGTTAACTGACTTTAAAAGTCCAGTTTCCACCATTGCCGAACTAGGCTGGAATTCCTGGGCTATTTCGTAGCGCCACCAGTGGCTCTTAAGAGTTATGTCCTTTCTATGCCTCTCCTATTGACCAATCAGATTCAACCTCTCGTATCACTTGCATTTGCTTCAAACAAAACGGTGGCGCCCAGTCAAGACGATCTGATTGATAATCAAGATCTATAATTGTGATAAAACGAGTCTTACATCGCGAAGTGCATCAAATCACGTGAGCACCTTGATTAAAAGCATGAAAAGATTAAGAAAATATCTGTTGACAACGAGTTAGCGGTGCACATGCTTTGCAAATCCTGCAGTCGAACGAAATCTGCATGACACTTTTACTCCATAATACCGGCCTAGTTCGGCAAGGCTGGAAACTGGACTCTTATAGTCAGTTAACTCTCTTGCCTCGGGAAGATGGGTCACATGTGTTCCATTAGGTGTCTCGATTTCGTTGTCGATGTATACATGTATAATGGGTATGCTTGTCTGTTGCAGACATATCCTCCAATACCCGAATGTCAGAATGGAGGCATCTGGTCAGACACTACCAAAACATCCTGTGACTGTCCTGGCAGCTTTACTGGAACATATTGTGAACGCTACTGGGATGGTATGTACTCATACAATCTTTGTTGTGTTTGTTATAAACAAATGGACCACAGTAATACTGACGTTACATGGAGGTGTATGTACTTGATAAAACTGACGTTGGTGAAAAGAAGTATCTGCATTCTAATCTATAAGCATAGTCGTTCAGAAGCAGTCTAAATAAGGCGTGGCTCAATTTTTAATTGTTAAAGTCTTATTTGTGGCAAGCGTAGATCCGACACGATAAAAGTATGAAAGTATAATAAAAAATTTCCCGAGGAGCTCACTTCAATTGCAAACATATTGTACTTATGTGTGGGTTGAGTTTAACACCGCTGTGGACATTAGTCCACTAACGTCACGACGTGTCAGTTTAATGTTGGAAGAAAGCCCGAAGTGATGCTGTTGTGATTAGGAGAGCAAGAGACAAGAGCGCACATTCTTTCAAATTATATATACATTGAAATACAACAAAAGGCATTCTTGTCAATAGATATGAAGATTCGTTTGATAATTTTTTTTATCATATGATGGGTAGGTTTCTCGGCAGGATAAAGCCAACGGATAAAAACGATATCCGTTTGGGTCATATGCGCATAGAGATGCAAATATCAAAGGTCAAGTAGGGACTACTTTCAGTGTTTATAAACACACATGGCGTCGTCATTCGGCGATCGAGTCAGAATTAACCATGGGGAATCTGGATAAACTAAAGGGATAATTCTATCATTATCAAAAGAACAGTCTAATATACTGAAAATCAGTGTCTAACTGTGACGTAGCTAAGGCATTTTATAAGTTTTGGCAACTTTGGAGATATAAATTTCGAAACAAATTTGCGAGGGCACTAGGCCTGACCAAGCGGTATCAGTAGCCATATCTGTGCTTAAAATCTTTTCCACAAATTAAAATAGTTGGATTTGGCCGAAATATGTTTGATTTGTTACCTTGTTTCGTTTCGTCGCTGTGTGTACGTCTGACTGCACTTAACGTTATGACAGGACAGACCGACTGTCATCAACGTCTGAACGTGGCCGTGACGTCTCATAGACTAGGGTAAGAGTAGCTTCCCTTTGGCAAAGGGCAGCTACTCTAGCTGACAGACCTATGGATTGCCGCGAAAGGCAAGTAAAAACAATTGTTGTTTTGCGTATATGTTGCTTCGCCTCTGTATAAGAAACAGATTTTAGTTGGAACTATATTGGCTACTGTCACTGTCCGACTGAAACATCACTTACCCTGTGACGTAATAAATATTAATGCGCGCATTCCAGGAAAACTCGCAATGTTAAGGTAATGTTTGTGAGTGAGGAGAGGCGATTTTCAAGCAGAGAATTGAAGAATGACATTATATGATGAAGAGGTTATCACGCTTGTGTGTTTGGGGATGGTAAATATCCTGTATTAGGAATAAACACTATGTATTTAGCTCGCCAAGTCTCGCTAAATACAATGTTTATTCCTAATGCAGGATATTTACCATCCCCCAAAACACTTGCGTGATAACCTCTATGTATTCATATTGATTCATACCTTTTCACGTAAAGTTTGATAACCTGAACTTCTGGGATTGTAGATTGTTCCGAGGGATTCAGAATGAACATAACAGAACATGGAGTTTATACCATTCAGCCAAGGCCTTATGAAACACCTTTCCAAGTGCACTGTAGAATGATGTTCGGTGGACGTACATCTGTCCAGAAGCAGTTGTCTGGCATCGACTTCTACAGGACCTGGCAGGAGTACAGAGACGGATTCGGGACTCCTGGGGGAGATCACTGGTTGGGTTTGGAGAAGATGAAAGCCATCAGTGATAAGACCCCAAGCAAATTGATTCTGAGGTTGACATATGAACAGTCTCCAACATGGAGACAGATTATTTACAACTATTTTAATCTGTCAGACGAGCTAGATGGTTTCACGTTTGATTTTATTGGTACTAAAGTACCACAGGAGAATAATGCATTCAGCGAGGCCATGACTGATCTGAGAGGAGCCAGGTTCAGCACCAAGGACAGAGACAATGATGAAGACCCTACTGGAAACTGCTCCCAGAAACATCACTCTGGTTGGTGGTTCAGAAACTGCACCTTGTGTAACCCTAACGGTCAGCTTAAGCCAATTCCCAACACAGCAAGTGATCCTGATGACGTTTTCTGCGGTGGAGATACAAGGGGTGTGAAAGAGACGTCTATTTCCATAGGTGCACACTAATTCTTATATCATTACATCCGCATTTTTTTCTAATATTTGCGTAGAATACATTTTTAAAAATTCTATCTTTCGAACCCTTCAAGATTGCTCACGAATAACAGAAAGATCATGAGTGAGTGAAGCTAAACGTTTCTTTTACTAATAAACCAACATTATAACCGGAAACACCAGAAATGTGCTTCACACATGTTCCTCTGTGGGAATCGAACATGGAACTGTATATTTCTAACTGGGCCTATGATGTACCTTGAGATATAGGACATTGCTGTTAAATATGTTGATACGCTATTTCTAAAGTCGATGTTTATCAAACATATATTAATCAATGATTTTTGTCCTCGTGATCAAAACCAAGCGGGGTCACTGACACTATCAATGACGCATACTCGTATACAACACTCGTTTTTTCAGAAATTGAAATATTTAAAACAAATTAATTCAATGCAATGTCAAGTCACCAATATCATAACTCAATGCATGTTATCGTATATTAATTAACTTTAAGCGTGTTGAGATAGCATGCGTAAGTACCTGTCTCAGGTAGAAAATTATAACGGGTGTATATCTAATAGAGAATCTCACCCGAGTGTCTTTTGATATCAAATATATCAACACGAGTTGATAAAAGTGGAAAAATTCCGAGGCTTGCCGAGGATTTTTGCCACTTTTATCAACGAGTGTTGATATATTTGATATCAAAAGACACGAGGGTGAGATTTTATTTATCATCCAACATCATTCTTTCAACTTTTTCAATTTGTAGACAGTAATTAGCAGTGTCTTCAGTGTAAAAAGTACTGAAAACAGCTTCAGTAGCAGAGCCATTAGTGATGTCATTTGATTGTGACGTCATGGTAACCAGTGATGTCACAATGGTCTGCAAAGCATTGTGATGTAATTTCATTGCAGCGATATCTACAGTGTAGATATCGCTTGATCTCATCCAAGCGATATCTCCTGTGGGAGCCAGTTTTGGATGATAAAATACTTTATCATATTTTAGTAATATAACTTTCCGCGATTGGTGACAAATAGCGTCATTGGTGTCACAGACTGTTTGGATAACATTTCACCTCATTAGCGGAAAGTAAAGGAAATTATGTAGTTGAACTAAACATGTTACAACAGTTGGAGTTATCGGGTTTTTGTGACTCCCTCAGCAATGGACATCGCATTTAGTCGTCGTGTTTTTCTTGTGTCATGTCACAGTGTCTTTAGTTTCACAGTAAGACCAAATCCAATTCGTTGACCGTCCTGTTGAGATTTTATTCTCTTGCGCCAACACCTTTTTCAATCCCACCTGTTGCGTCACTGTCCTATTGCATCACAGTCGAAATCATTAATCAACCAAACATATGGATGTCCTTTGTCTGTTATTTTTGTTATTAAAGCACCAAATACAATATTTAAATTTTACACACATATGTGATTTTACCACTACGGTTAGGCCTATAGTGTGTGAGTACACATTGTGATAGACCCTGGCAGAATCAAATGTTAATGATAAATCATTAAATGATCATAAAAAAAGATCAAATGTTTACGATAAAACCATACAGAAAGCTTAAGATTCCTTCTATTTAAATAATGTTTTTAATACTTTTCATTCAATTGATTCAGTAATGACACTTTTCAATAAACACTTTGATTGTAATATAACATAGTGTTCTATTTTCGATACAATAACATTCTTTTATGTCCATTATAAACTTTTTTGGTTGAAAACTAATTCCTGAAATGTGTTTTGTTTCTTTCATATAGCTGATATTCTGGAATAATATAATGAACATTCTACTGGCTGATACCACAGCAAGGCCTCAACAAATCTTAGACACCACTTCTAATTATTCCAGTGATCAAAAACCTATGATCAGAGAATACATCAGAGAACTGATGCAAAAGAGGTGGATACCAAAGTATGTTTAGGCAAGATGAAAAATCAGTTATTGGCTACACTCATCATGACATAAAATTATGCTCCTGTCTATCACTCTCTTAAGGTAGAATATTTGTCATTTTTTCTTAACGACTACACTTGCATGCATACACTCGACAATTGCTGAAGGCAGTGTGTAAGTGGGGGAGGGGCATGCACAATGTCTTTAACCAAACATTTGATACATGCTACTGAACTTATGATGAAAATCGTTTTCCAGCAGCAAATTCGATCCAGTTCAAATAAATATATATCGCAATGCAAGAGTATAACCAGTCTAGATTGTGCACCGAAAAAGACCAATATTTGGCGTAAGTCCAGCTTAGGAATCGTTCAGTAGCAGTAAATGTTCTGAAGATCCCCATGGTCCCTGACCCGTGAAGATCCGGGGTGGAATAGGTCTTCAACAACCCATGCCTGCCGTAAAAGGCGACTGTGCTTGTCGTAAAAGGCGACTAACGGGATCGGGTGGTCAGACTCGCTGACTTGGTTGATGCATGTCATCGATTTCAATTGCGTGGATCAATGATCATGATGTCAACCACTGGATTGTCTAGTCCAGACTCGATCATTTACAGACCGCCGTCATATAGCTGGAATATTGCCGAGTGCGGCGTTAAACAACGAAACAACCAAACCAACCAACCTCATGGTCCCTTGTGTGTTGTCGTTGGTTACTTGCGATTGATAGTCCGAATTGTGTCGTTGTTTATAATTTTACGTCTTTAGTATTAGCCACCCTGTTTATATGATATGGCACTGGTTATTTTGCAGTCCATTGTTTAAATGCTCAAATGTGGCTGAAAATATTAAACTTTCTCACTTCTGTGGATCGATCCACCGACCTTCCACTCCCTGAGAAGACACTCTATTTACTTGAACACCTTGGTGAACGAACGCACGAGCACGATTCTGACAAACGAACAACCAGAGGACCCTGAATATAGAAACAAATAGGCCACACAACATTGGTTCCTATAACTACTCTGACAATCTCACCAGATAGTATCTGCTTGTCTGATGGGTTTTGTTTGTTTGTTTTGTTGTTTAACGCCGCACTCAGCAATATTCCAGCTATATGATGGCGGTCTTTCGACAATCCAGTGATTGACATCATGAGCATCGATCCACGCAATTGGGATAAAATGACATGCATCAACCAAGTCAGCGAGTCTGACCGTCCGATCCCGTTAGTCGCCTCTAACGACAAGCATAGTCGCCTTTTACGGCAAGCATGGGTTGCTGAAGACTTATTCGTACCCGGATCACGGGTCTGGTTGGTTTTGACACCTAATAGGACTCTAACTCACTGGCACAATGGTATTACCAGGATTTATTTGAGGCGAACCTAGCATAAGCAAGCGTCCAAACGATAGGTTTGTTTATTTGTTGTTTAACGCCGCGGTCTGTAAATAATCGATTCTGGACGACACGCTCCAGTGACTGAAATCATAAGCATCGATCTGTGCAATTGAGATACGATGTGATCAACCAAGTCATCGAGCCAGACCACCCGATCCCGTAAGTCGTCTCTTACGACAAGCATGGGTCGCTGAAGACCAACCTCTGAATCTTCACGCGATCCGGACGATAGTTCACTCAAATGGGGCAAACAATCCCTCAGCCCGGACACTCTCGCACATGACACCGCCTTTACTACATAAATAATCTCGCTGGGGCTACCTTTACTAAGTTCGCTGGGAAATTATATGTGTATTAAATGACAGATTTACAAAATGTTGTAAGTAAAGTTCCTGAAACCAAGCAGGTTTCCGGTAAGGTTATTCGACCATGGATAAGACCAAGACTGTTTTTTCTCTTGCATTGACGTTTCATATAGTATGTGCAACTGTTGAAACAAGTTTAGGCATAAAGAATAAATTAACTTTAAAGGCTTTTGATTATGTCAATCGAGCAAAGAAATGTTAAAATGTTGGGGGCTTTTAGTGTATACCAATCAGTTAAAGCATTCGTTAGCTCTAGAGCAGAAAGAAGTAGCGATGCTATTTATATAGAGTAAATGCACACATATACTTGTGTATGTTCTATAATTAAAACATTGACCTCAATATCTTTTCGCCTTTATTGGGGTTTACACGTGAAAGCGGTGTGCACACGTTGTTTACATCGAAAACATATTGAATAAATGCGACAACCCTTTCCGTATTCAGAAGAATTATCTGACAAAAGCAGAGTTGATTGTACGATTCCGACTATATCACGAGAAAAGTTTGTTCGCAGAAACAGGGAGCGTTTCCTGCCCCACCATTGTCACCCGTCAGAAACACATGCAAAGGCAAGTCTTTTGTTCACATGAAAAACTGAAAAACAACAACACGGGAACATATGGCAGAGTCAAAATAGGGAATTTCATCGGTCATCATTCTTGTCTATGATGCGTCAGATTTGGAAATGTCTTCCAAATGTTAACAATGACACTTTTTGAAATCTTTATTCACATAAGGTGAGGTGAAATGGGGTTTAACGTCGCGTCCAAGGTTATTGCACTTATATAGCGACGTGCATGTACGTGTGTGTGTTTGTGTGGCTGCTTGTACTAGTCCGGACTGATGCCGATTTATAGTGCTAGCTCACTGAGGTACCATGCCGCAGTTTAACATGAATACCCCACTCAGACACAGTATACTGACTCCGAGCCGACCAGTCCTTGTTTTGGCCCCTTAATGCCGAGCGCCAGACAGGGTAACAACAAGTACCATCTTTTAACGTCTTTTGGTATGACGCGGCCGGTGATCGAACCCCGGACGCTCTCCGGGCGGACGCTCTACCACTAGACCACGGAGACGGTCTTATTTACATAAAGAATTACATCAACATATGAATTGCACAGACTCCTAGTTCAATCATTAATGCACAAACAACTGTAGACAACAATAGGAAATCTGCTACATCGTTCAGCTCAATAAGGCAACGTAAGTCCCGCCCTTTCTACTATCAACCAATCAGGGAACACTTGCCAAGTAGTGGGCGCCATCTTATTTTGGTTCGTCTTGTGGAAACACAGACACAAGAAATTGTAAGCCAATCCAATGACATTAATCACATCCAAAATATTTATATACACAACTTTTATTACAGAAGTATGACAAAGAACGTTTTAATGGAAAACGTGACATAATAATTACATCCTATTAAGTTAGTATTGCTTATCATTGATCGTTGTCGGCATCTACGAGGACAGGAGAAACCCCTAAGAAGCAATGATGGTTCTTATCACCTATTCCGCTCACAGATGCGTGTTGATGAAATCGATTGATGTCGTTCTTTGGTTGCGTAGTTTCCTTTTAGTCATCTTTATTATTATTATTATTATATTAATCTTTATGTTAATTGTAAACATACTATAGTTACCATTTTTCATATTGTCATACCCGGAATACAAAAACACACTTTCGAATATGTTCAAAAGCACTTGTGATGATTGTGATGATTACGGCTACAGATGACAAAGGGAAATCAGTTATGCAAGTTTAGCCTCGATCTGAGATGCAATGGTCCTTCATTAACTTGTGTCACAAGTGGAAGCTTCAGATGAGGTTATCATCAGAGATGGATGTAAGCATTCTCCTGGCAGCTTCTTTATCGGTTTGCACGGCAACATTTTCGATAAGCGAGTCGAAATTTGTTAAGCAGTTTTCTGAAACTAATCCTCCAGTGTTTCAGGACAAATCGTTTGCCTTCGGCTGCGTTGGGAGATGTTCCTCCTCAAGCACCTGCCGAGCCACCAATGTTCTTTTTGCCCAGAGAAAATGCACCTATTACACCTTTGAAGATTTAGAAAATCTGTCTGGCTTTGATGATGTCCTGTATCGCAAGGTGAGTATTCATTAACTCTGAGTGATTGAGTTACAATTTTACGTACACATATCAAATATATACCAATGCGTGTACTAACACAAGTTATTCTGCACGCACGTCAACAACTTATATTCCTTCATTGGACTGAAGCTAGACTCAATCGCATGGGGCTTAATATGAACCCATTTTCAGGACCTCAAACGCCACTGTGCTTTTGGAAAGGTCGGGCATATATCACATGTCCAAAAATACACAATTTTATATGTTTGATTTATCCCAAATTGTTTTTAAGTTGAATACCCTGTTTCTCTGTAAACGTTGTTTAAGGGGGATAATTGCTATGTATAATTGTTCTGTATGTGGCAAATGCAATGTTATTAAGTCGACAATATTATAAGCAAGATTAAAATAAAACTGATATAGTGGCGTGTAACATTACTGGAATGTTTAATTAGTGCTCAACGTTGTTAGCGGGCGTACGTACTCTCATTGCAATGGTATTGACATTTAAGCGATTGAGGCTTCTGTTACTTTGTTTGGCACGGTGCTTGGTATGTGAGTAGATATTATAGTGAAAAGCACAGAGCGGATCAGCAGTCGGAGGTGATTTCACTGGCGGTGACTGTTGTAGTATAATCACTTTAGATTGTTGAAATAGATTTATGCTGAGCTTAGATGGGTTTGTACGAGATGCCGTGATGTCTTTGGTTTACTCACATGCTGTTGTGCACATAGCAGATTAGCCAACATATTAGCTCAGACGATGAAAGCTATATTATAATTACTTAAAAGTGTTGGATTTGGTTTGTGCTAAGCTGTCGGTTTAAGTGTGTGGTATACATTGCATGTGAATAGTCATCATGGTGGAATTTCGCTTATTATTAACTATATTAAAAGCAAGTTCGGCTCAGCTTAACATCGTTTGCAAAGTGAACACACTACGACAGTAAATGTATTGTACAACAGACGCAAGAAAATATAACAAATGTTATAAATACAAATTATTAACAAGGGAGATATGAATACTAATACCTGTACATAGTAACTTTACAGTGAGTGAGTGAGTGAGTTGGGTTTAGCGCCGCTTTTAACATTATTCCAGTTATATCGCGGCGTGTCAGCTTAATGTGGGAGGAAAGCCCGAAGTGATGCAGGTCTAAGACGTTTACCACTTCGGTGAAACCCACGAGCACGGGTATGGTGCTGACAAACCTAGAAACATAATCGGGGTGAACCGGGATTCGAACCCACAATCATAGGTTTCTGGCGTGTCCAGGGGACGCAACTCTGCACAGCGAATCGCGGCGCCTCAGACGACTGGGCCACCCGTGCCCCCTAGTAACTTTACAGATCAAGAAATCAACACATTGAAGTATTTAGATTTTTTATATATTGTTTTACTTATGTCATTATTGTTTTATGTTTTCTTATCTACACTTCCACAAGGCACAAGACTTGCTTAAATTTAAAACAAATATTCATTCACTACAGTGAGATACTCTGGTTATTGAGCAAAGAAGAATCCAGTACCAATCAAAGTGAACAGTATGCAATCAAAAACATTAAATCTGACCCAATGTTATACAAAGCAATCGTATAATACGTCACAACTGATAGTTTTAAACAATCAGGCCGTTTGTCAATAATAATGACGATATCAGTGGTATTTGAAGATAAAAATAGAACTTCATACTTATACTCATACAAAATGAACTATTGTATTTGCACAGTAGTTGAGTTCATGCTTTCATTGGCAGCTTCAAGATACTGAATAAGATATAAACTGCTTAACAAACTTTTATAATTCGAGATGTAAGTTCATCAGTAACTGTGTTCAAATCCCCCGATGAGAATAATAAATCACTATCAATATTCAGCATGTCAGTATTAAACTGAATTGTGTTTGCACATTACCATGAGCGTGATTGATAAATTACACAGCGTCAGGTGTTCAAAGTGTTTTAAGGTAGAAATTATGCAAAACGCATATTTATCAAATTTCTCTTTGCTAGAACATTCTATTGTGGATTTTCAAAAATAACTTCGTTCTCTCTGCTGTTAAGAATATTTAAACAACCAGTACTATAATGGGACACTTATTACATGTTATTTGCGCACCCGGATGTTCAAAATCACAATAAAAATGCTAGTATCCAATAATTCTGTTCAAGGGGCGGTCGGGTAGCCTAGTGGTTAAAGCGTTCGCTCGTCACGCCGAAGACCCGGGTTCGATTCCCGACATGGGTACAATGTGTGAAGGCCATTTCTGGTGTCCCCCGCCGTGATATTGCTGGAATATTGTTAAAAGCGACGTAAAACCATTCTCACTCACTGAAATACTAAATAGACGAGGACCAAGCATAAGCCAGCTCTACAGACACTGGTTCTCACAAACGCAGCAAGGTACCTTATGCTGATAATTGAAAACAGTATTGTCAACCTTATCTTATGCTACTTTAACAATTTATCATATACTTAGCAGTGGGATATTCTGTTCTATCCAGTGAAATAAAGTTTTGATGCACCTGTCTCATTCTTGGAAGGTAATATAATGCAGGCACCGCCTGTAACGTATGATTCCATTTGAAATAATCTTTCTCACTTTGGTTATTAAAAGCTGCAGGGTGGAATGTTAATTAAGTTTGTGGAGAATATTGTGTCACTGTGAATCTTCATGCATAGATCTAAATATGAAACATCGGCCTATTATATTCCTAGTTCTGGTTGGTAGACCAGTGAACGGGGGTTTGCTTTTTGACCATTATTGAAAGGTCTATCACATCATCGATAGACCTGCTTTGTAATTAAACGTCTTTGCCAAATTCCCTTTTTTAGATCTTGCAAATCCGGTCAAAACTCCGATTCATTTACATAAGAAATTATCAAGAATGGGCGCACTTCTTGCCTCAATGTCTTCGCTCCAAAATTCACATAAATGTTCCTAACGAAGAAGCCAAGCAATTCATATATTGTTTTCTCAGAAATTTGACAAATGTGAAGATACAAATGTAACTTTATCTCGTCACCACGTTTAATTTTTTTTGGCCTGTGGGATATAGTGGTGTACAAAGATGAACATGGCTCTTTTCTGAGATTGCTAAACATTCGTTGGTATTCCATATGGCATTAATTCCACATGTCTCAAATACGTTTTTGTGAATGTAAAGAAAGTCCTACATTGGTTGTGTTAAGCATTATGGTTAGTCTTTGAGACAGTTATTTGATGGTATATTTGCCGAAATATGATTTTTCATGGTACACTATAGAGCAGAAACAATACATACATGGGGGTTTCTAAATAACCTCAGTCGCATATCACTCAGAATTGTATTAAATTATTTGATTCCATTGTTGTATAATACATGAACGATACCTAATCAGTTCAACAAGACCATATTGGAAATCAATAAGTTAGTAACCCTGAAAATTGAAGGTTTTGCTGTAATTCCCAAACGTCGCCGGCAGTGGGTATTCTCAAAGGCTCTTGACATCTGAGGTTAATTCCTTGGCCCCGAACAATTTATTTTGCTTGACACGTTCAAAGACTCACCACAGAAAAAGAAACACTAGACAGATTACATTTTCCAAATTGGATTGGCTGAAAACATTTTACGAGTTTGAACAATGAATATATTGTCACATGATTTCATATATTTCAGTAATATTTGACATTAAAGTGTTCAATATCTATTGTCCTATTTTCATGTCATTCACGGAGTCACATTTCATTTGTTTGTTGACGTCACTGAAGTTTGATATGACGTCATTGTTCTTGAACTATGGCGTTACTTGATATCCGATATTTAATGTTAGGAGTATGCGATGGACATCTTTTCGAGAATATATATATCTGACCTTTTTGCAAAAGAGGTTTCAAAAGATATTCTTCACTTTTATATTCAGTTGTAAACGTGACATAATATTTACATTTTGGTGATAATTATAGTGCTGAGTTCCATTTATGTATACTGAACAACAAAAGTTCCTGTGACATTGCATAAAAGTCAACTTTTGCATGGAATGCATGCTTTTCTGTAGCAGTTGCTTTTTTGTGTCTTGATTCCATACATGTACTACAATATTGAAAACCAAACTTGACTTGTTTGAAAAATACACTAAAATATTGGTGTCACGGGAACTTTTGTTGTTGAGTATATATACACATCATTAAGTCTTTGAGTGACTGTGATAAAATATTCATGGTATTCTTCGTTCTGACTGTTTTGTACATAGACACAGCCAAGTTCATTAATATTTTTCTTAACAGATGAGACCCAGTTCATGCTTTTAGAACTATCAGAATGTAACATCATTTCATAATATTTTCTTGGATATCTAAGCAAAGGCATATACAATAATTTTACCCAATATAACCTATGAACCTTTATAACCTAGCCTTAACCAGTGCGTGTATAAACAGTGATCTACCATACACAACTGCATTTGGTGTGTTAAACTCCCAGAAATATTTTACAAGCAAAGACGTGTACTTACGTAAAGTCTGACTTTGTCATACCTCATATATCAGCACCATACAACAAAATAAGAATATGTTTTGTATTCAAAATCTTTAAAAGATAGATGAAGGTTTAAATCACTGATGTTTTTGAGATTTCTTTGCTCGATAACACTTGGACATGATATTTTATTTTAGATAGACACCCAGATATTTGTATTTAGTAACAACATCTCATACTTTGTCTTTATAAAACCACTACGAGTTATTCAGCTAAAGGTGACACTTTGGGGAGATCCACAAGCATCAGGCATGGTGTTAGATCATAAACAGACTGAATTATGGATTCGTCACCTGTCGCAAAACATACATATGTAATGGATATGCGTCGTTGTTGCAGACTTACCCGCCATCCCCCGTGTGTCAGAATGGAGGCACCTGGTCAGATACTACCAAAACATCCTGTGACTGTCCTGTCAGCTTTACTGGTACATATTGTGAACGCTACTGGGATGGTATGTACTCAGATAATAATAGTCCTGTATGTATATGAAACTGAATGTAAATAAAAAAAACAAAAAAACTACGGTTATAACGAACACGCTTATAACGAACTGACGGAGTTAAGTTTTGGTCCAGGCCATTGTATATGTTGTATGTATGCTTATAACGAACTACGGTTATAACGAATTAAAATCAGTGGTCCCTTTGAGTTCGTTATAACTGTAGTGTACTGTACTACTGAAAAAGATTACCCGATTCTTTCATATTACTATAGATGTCATACCAGGTCAACTATTATAACATAAAAGCATTAGGTGATCCTAACTCTTAAGTAGTACATATAGGTTCATATAACACAATGATCGTATAACATGTCTGTACCACCGGTCATTCTTTCGTTGCAAAACATATCGAACTTGTGTACAAAATTAACACGCAATCAACTTAACATCTTATGTTCATAGATTTTATCCCTTTAGAAACTATTTTATTGTTCCAAGAATTGAAGATTAATACAGTAGTCCTTCAAAAACATATTCCAGATAGCATGGAATGGCACATTAAACTCTTTGAAAATTTAAAGGGTTGGAAACAGACATTGTCCTATTTCAAACCAAAACAGTCGCAACACACAATCAGATTAAAACATAACATGTATTAACAGAGAGGTAAGAATCAAATGATGAGAATATTGTACAGGTGACCAATTTGTGTAAGGGTTATTTTTGTCAACCTTTTTTACAGCAATAAACTTCTCCATTCAATATATCTTCAATAAATGTTGAATAATTTGTTTTAGATAACTTGTCTTACAATAGATGTATAACACTGCATATAAAATAAATATAAAAGATTGTCAATGTATACAAAATATCTTGTCCGTTTACAGACACGGGATGCTACCCAAGGAAACAACAATGTTTGTAAATGTGATTTTGCGTTTGGCGGTATGTTTGAAGAAATGCGTATTTGATAACATTGACTTCCTCAAAATGCTCCCTCTAATCGAGGGTGTATTTTACTTACAGTAAGCACTTTCATATGGATTCATCAATATATTTTGTTTGTAATGATTGGTCGCAGATTGTTCTGAGGGATTCAAGATGGGTATATCATCAGATGGAGTTTATACCATTCAACCAAGACCGTATGGAACCCCTTTCCAAGTCCACTGTAAAATGAAGTACGGTGGACGCACATCTGTCCAGAAGCAGGTGTCTGGCGACATCGACTTCTACAGGACCTGGCAGGAGTACAGAGACGGGTTCGGGACTCCTGGGGGAGATCACTGGTTGGGTTTGGAAAAGATGAAAGCCATCAGTGACAAGACCCCAAGCAAAATGATTCTAAGGTTAACCTATAAAACGGACAAATCTCCAACATGGAAAAATATTATTTACAACTATTTTAATCTGTCAGACGAGCTAAATGGTTTCCGGTTTGATTTTATTAGCACTAAAGTACCATCACAGAAGAATGCATTCAGCGAGGCCATGACTGATCTGAAAGGAGCCAGGTTCAGCACCAAGGACAGAGACAATGATGAAGACCCTGCTGGAAGCTGCTCCCAGACACATCACTCTGGTTGGTGGTTCAGAAACTGCACCTTGTGTAACCCTAACGGTCAGCTTAAGCCAATTCCCAACACAGCCAGTGATCCTGATGACGTTTTCTGCGGTGGAGATACAAGGGGTGTGAAAGAGACGTCTATTTCTATAGGTGCACACTAATCTCCACATCACCATATCCGCAATTTTTGTTCATCATTCGCTTATAATACATGTCTATTAATTTTAGTGGATACCAATTCTGATAACCCATGATAACACCATGTGTTCGGAGAATGCATTGTCTAAAAACAGAGACATTCAAGGTAATGAATAATATGTTTACTGGTGATTAATGGTTAATAAAAAAGAGACATGCAGACTAGTCTTGCAGTATCATTATCCTGTGGCATTTGAGCAATTAAGTGAATATGCGTGTGGTTAAAACTTGTTTACTTGAATCCGACTAAACCTTGAGATATTCAACGTTGAAGTTGCATTGAGGATATTGAACATTGTTAGTGGCGGGTGCCTTAGGTGGGGCAGAATACGCTCACCCACCTTTTCGCGAACACCTGGTATCATCACTATTTGATGGTGATTCTCTAAGAACACGTTCAAAGTCAGAATATCGTAAATCGACTCGCTTGTGTCACATTTAGATCAATATTTCACATTAATCTTTTGTGCTGGCTGTCGAAAACCAGTCCTGCCTACATTGTACTTAACACGAAGCATTAAATTGGACCAAAAAAAAACGATTTTCGTGTGAACACATCGTTTAGGCAGTAGATGAAGGTTGAATATTTCATCACAAGCAATTAAACCGATATTCAAATCACCAATATTCCAACTCGACCCGTGCTTAGAGCATTGTCAGTGTTGAACATTCATAAATATACTTACATTGTGCAAACCCGTTAAATATTTCAACACGAGCAATTATATCGAACTTTATTCACTAATGTTCCAACACTACGCATCCTTTGAGCATTGTCGATGTTGAACAGGCACCTACGCAGACTAATTATCGTTTAGCGTGTGGAAATTGCATTCGTAAAGACCTACGTTGTGAAAACGGAATGGGTTTATTTCTTTACAGTTTATGTGAAATAAGTTATCTGAAGCGTTTAGAAATCTTCTTTCAGAACGTGTAAACAACATCTATAAATATGTTACATTCTCCCGGCGACGAAAACTCCTGATCTGATTTGAATTAGCATATGACTCGTCTTGGCAGTAGGAATGATACCGTTAACAGTATTGGTATTCTCTTGATAGCACAATTTGATGCGTGGTTGATTTACCTAGCAGGTGACATTCTGTTTACGTAACAAAAGAATTGGGGGCATAGCGGGAGTAAACAAGAAGAAAATATAGTGTCATCGGGATTTGGATTGATCTCTGCAACATAGGCTAAATTGCAGTTAACAGTATTTGTATTATGTTTGATAGCACAATTTGATTCGTCGTCCCTAGCAACGGACAATCTGTTTACTGGGTATCTCCACTTCAATACGTAATACGTAAAAAGTGTGTGCATCTATTGAAAAAGCCAAAGATAATATTTGAAGACATATTTAATGAACAAAAATCCTTTGTCATGTGCCACACAATGCCAACAAACACCATGTTATCAATAATCAATCAGATCACTGGTCAAGTACTCGAAAGTATCTGACCAAAAAAGAAACTAAAAAAAACAACTTCATTGTACAAAACACCTTCAGTATGAAATACATGATGTGATCACAGCCTTGCACCGCCGTCTCATGCTCCAATTAAGTGTCTTGATGGTTGCCAAGGGAAGAATGCACTACTCTTCAGCAAGGGCATTGCCGAGTTTCTGTGTTAGGCTACGTTTGAATTCTGAAATATTTCTCGATTCATCAGTGAAACGTAATGAAGTCCAGTCCTGGTCTGTCCAATTGACGTGATATAGACCATCAGCCTAATCCAAACGTACCTGCCTGCGAATGCATGCCTTCCGAGACCAGCCTCACGGAGGCGATTACGCACTGAGTAGAAGAGTTAACGGCACCGGTGGTCTGCAGGTCATTTCTGAGTGTGGTGGCAGTAGTCACGAAGTGATGACATTTTGCTGCAATCAGGAGAAACCGTCTTCAAACGTCTGGTATCGATAACATGCACTGCTAATAACACGTTGGCTGACACCAAAGACATTTTGCAACGTAACGTGTTGCCCCAGTTTTAAGCATTCCTATGCATCTGCCTAATTCTTCGGTCGCTGAGGGGACATAAGAGTATCCAGTTGTTGCAATCCTATGATAACGACGTGCAACGATTCTGTTTCAATATATCCCCAAGCACCTGGTGGACATTGTGCCCATGACTGCATGCCTCTGTCCTTTCATCGTGAAATTAAGATACTACAGAGGTTACCCAATCATTGTGTACCGGGATAGTTCAATCTTTATTTGTTGGATAATATGTTTATGCCATGAAAACTCCTAGGATGTTACGTTAATGGCGGACGTTGGGTCATGGTGCCCATTGGTATATTGTAAATATAAGCAGGTACATGTTATAGTGGGTGTGAGAGAAGGAATACCTTTGAGCATAAATCCAGAATACGGCTGCCTGAAAATAGTCGAATCTGAGATCAACAAACCAAGAGGAAGTTTAACGAAACCACGCCATCGGCGCATGGTCACACACAATCTCCAAAGTCACAAACCCTAACCACCCAGTCCTCTTGTAACAATCATGACATGCTAGGGACATATTCGTCCGCAGCAAAAAGCTCTTGGAACGATTGACATCAAAGTCAATCACGAGTGTGAGGAAGGCGAGGCTCAGTCTCTTCATGTCACAATATGGGAGCCGGGACAGGCCAAAGACGCATATTTATTCATTGGATACTATTATGTATAGGAGAATGTCCGAAATCTCGCCATTATTTTCGCACGTGAAGCTTGTTCGAGGCCGTTAGGCCGAGAACAAGTTTCACGTGCGAAAATAATGGCGAGATTGAGGACTTTCTCCTACTTAAAACAAAGTTCGATCAAGTTGATGCCTCAAACTAATCTTCAAGTGATATCCACGTGCCAAACTAACGGAGGTGTGTTCTAGTTGTACATGGTCATGAACGACGTTCGACTCGGCAGGGTTGTCAGCATTAGTGCGAATGATTCCGACAACGATTTATTTGTCACACAAAATAGTTTCACGAACACTTTTGAGGTGGACGTTAATTCAGATTTTGAAACTCTACTAAATTTGGATTCAAATGAACTTCCAAACTTTGGTAAATGTGAGTTGATTGATCTCGAAGGGTTTTCCTCAGGTTCCGACACTGATCTGTACAAAGCAAGCCAAGCAATTGAATCTAACCTTCTTGATATGCTACCTTGTAACACTCGCTCGCCATTAACTTCATCAGAAATACCTCAATCACGTGGCGCTTCTGAACAAAGCATAGATTCAAGTTCAGCAAGGTTTGCCAAGCAAACATCTGATATTGACATTAAGAAGTTGTGTGATTCAGCATACTCATCAAATACTGAAAACAAGAGTATGTGGGCAGTTCGCTTGTTTCAAGGGTGGGTGAAGGAACGACGTAAGAGGGGCAGAACAGAGGACATGGTATTGAACCCTGACATTGTGTCACTGGCTCAGGAGGAAAGGGAGTTAAATAAAACATTGATGTATTTTATGATTGAGGTCAGAAATCAGAAGGGCGAGGAATATCGCGGAAATACTCTTTGTGAAATTGTCTCATCCCTACAATATTATATCAGAAGAAACGGCAGTCAACTGATTTTTTTCGAATCTCCGATGTTTCAAGGATTAAGGTCCGTGCTAGATGCGAGAATGAAATATTTGGCAAGACAGGGAATCGGGATAGTGAAAAGGCAGGCTGAAGTGATCAGTGTGGACCAGGAAGACATGTTGTGGGAGAAGGGGATGCTGGGGGAGGGTACCCCCCAACAGCTATTAGATACAATGGTGTATTTAATTGGCCTCAATTGTGCTCTGAGGGCTGGTGATGAGCACCGATATCTTAGAACGGGCCCGAATTCACAGTTCGAAATAACAGTAGGTGCTGATGGGTTGAAAGGTCTAAAATACATGGAAGATGTGTCCAAAACAAACAGAGGTGGGTTGAAACATCGACAGTGTGAACGAAAATGCGTCAAAGTGGGCCAGAACTTGGAACGTCCAGAGAGGTGCCTTGTTCGGCTTTATGAAAAGTACATGTCACTCAGGTAAGTTATCAATGAATTTGACAGTATGTCAGTGATATCAGTGAAGTAATTTTTAAGAGTATATTGGCAAGTTGATTTAACTGTCTTGGAATTTTCAACTCAAGTGTTCATAACACGTCACCTATTATTATGACTTCATTACAATTTAGTGACGCAATTTCCGGGGTAGAATGGGTCCTCGGTATACCCTGGCTGTCCTAAAAGGCGACACAATAGGAGTGGGGGAAGTGGTCATGTTATGTGTTCTGGTTGTTGTCGAGCCTTCGTAGATCGTTGCTCATGCCGTCAGCCACTGGCTGTCTGGTCCAGAACTGCTCTATATTTTTTCCCCATTTACATTTATTAATAGGCCGCCGCGATATAACTGAAATATTGCTGAAAGTGGCATGACCAACCAATTATATTTGATCCCAATGGTGTACACGTGACTTAACAAAGTTGAAGCAATACATATTTCAGCATCGATGGTAAACGTGAACAATATTTCACTATGATGTCATACTATATTGGGACGTCATTAAGTTTAATGACGTTAACAAAATGAACTTCACGCCCCTGTGCGCGGGACATTGTCATTACTGGCTTTTACTTGATCGTGTTTAGACATTGAAAATACATGTGTATATATAAAAAAAATAATTTAATGTTATTTTCAGACCTAAAGACGGAAAATGCAACGCATTTTACTTGAGGCCCTTGAAATTTGTGAGAGAAAATACATGGTATCCTGACATTCCGGATTGGATTACATCCTTTAAGAGGCACTATCGGAAGACTGTGTAAAGTGGCAGGTTTTAGTGGTTTTTATTCCAACCACTCCTTGAGGGCCACCACTGCAACACGTCTGTATGACTCTGGCCTAGACGAACATCTTATCGCTGAGAGGACAGGGCACAAGTCTGTGGCAATACGAAGCTACAAGGTATAGTTTGTTGATACATTTGCGCTGGTTTGTATTATATGCTTGTCCGCAAAATACTACTAGTGTTATTAATACGCTCTCATGTTATCGAACGGAAAGCTCAGTTGTGTGGGGGTCACTTTGAAAATGAAAACTTTTTCGTATATGTGTGACATCTAAAACATGACAATGAAAAATCTAGTATTTAGTTGAAGTATAAGGGGGGCGGTCGGGTAGCCTAGTGGTTAAATCGTTCGCTCGTCACGCCGAAGGCCCGGGTTCGATTCCCGACATGGGTACAATGTGTGAAGCCCATTTCTGGTGTCTCCCGCCGTGATATTGCTGGAATATTGCTAAAAGCGGCGTAAAACCATACGCACTCACTCACTTAAGTATAAGGGGTGGTCGTTAATGAAAGGAAAATGTTTTGGATGGGGCCAAATATGGATGAATATCGTTCATTACACGGATTAAACAAACCAGACCATTTCCATAACTGAAATGCATTAATTTATCATTTAAACGTAGAGGACATCTGCGGAGATGGAAGCCCGTGTTGACAACATCATTCAGAGGAAATCAAGTAAACCTGCATCCCCAACTGAGTCGACAGTAATCAGATCTACGTCAACGGCATCAACTGCATCAACTTTGACCAGTACCAAAGAGACTGATGATGACACAGCTTCGAGGAATGGACGCGATCTTAAATTGGTTCTCAGGGATGGCGTTGTTTTGTCTCTAACATTCTGAGAATAAACGTTGGGTCAACAGTGACATAATCTTGTTATATTTTGTTGAAGTTAGTGAAGAGTATAGGACGCATTTCCTGTATCTTCTCCCGAGCATGTATCACAAAATAATTTTGCAAAAATCATGCTGGACTATGGGAGGGCGACCGCTCTTGTTTAACTATGGGAGGGGAACCTTTCAAGGAAGACTATGGGACGATTTAGTACCCATACTCAAACTATTGGAGTGTCAGCAAAATGACTGCGTCCACCCAACTGTCATTAAAGTTCACGTAACTTTGTTTTAAAGAAGACCTATACTTCCAAGCAACATATGAGAAATAGCATAAAAAATTCTCTATAGTTCTGCAAGATACGTTGTCCCCAGGTTTTGGAAAGACCTTCCAACGCGAAATTGTAGTAGTCTACATCAGAGCAATGTATATAGAACAGCAGTAAACATAGTCTGACACTTTGCGGAAACATTTGACCGTATTTCAGGGATACCATCCAACTTTCTATGCCACTTCTCAGAAAACCTTTTGACATAAGCTATTCTCAGATAAATGTGTGAGTGAGTTGGATTTAACGCCGCTTTAAACATTATTCCAGTTATTTCACGGCGTGTCAGCTTAATGTGGGAGGAAAGCCCGAAGTGATGCAGGTCTAAGACGTTTACCACTTGAAACCCACGAGCACGGGTATGGTGCTGACAAACCTCGAAACATAATCGGGGCGAACAAGGATTCGAACCCACAATCATAGGTTTCTGGCGTGCCCAAGGGACGCAACTCTGCAAAGCGAATCGCGGCGCCTCAGACGACTGGGCCACCCGTGCCCCCTCAGATAAATGAACGAGCTTTTGTTAAATAAAGTCACATGAGTAGAGCCATGCATACAATATGACCAACACATGGAAATGTTCCCCTTATGACCTAAAATGCAGTTGGGAGGTGTTCCAGCATACTCATAAATAGGGGCACTACTCGTCAGTGCCAAAGGGTTAAACTCCGCGAGCATAATGGAAGCATATAAACTTGAATAGAAAGGAACCCTTTGGTTCAATAAACCGTCATAAGCAATGGACGTAACATTTAAAATAAAAAATATAGTTATAACATTATTCATCATAGAATATATAGGGAGAAAATTATATAGGATATCTTTGTCAATATATTCAGATCTCATTGTTTGTAAAGATTAGCCGATATTTATATGTTATGACTTCATTATATCAATATATATTCAAATACACCAGAACTAAACATAAAACGTCAACGCAGGAAAATAATCATTCTTGATTATCTACCGAAACATTCCATTTGGCGTTAAAGGCAAAGTAATAACAGCTAAGGGAAGCAACTCTGCACGGTGAGTTGCCCACTTCGACGTCTGTGCTTTGTCAACCTCAAGTACACTAGCTTAGTATATCACATACTCTCTGCAAGATACCCCTGGAACTGGGTACCAGTTTGTACGACAGCGTCGGTGCCCTGATGAAAGTTTAGAGACCGCAGTCGCTGCCCAGGTGTGCATGCAGAAGCTGGTTATGTAACAGGTGGTTTGATCCCATTTTCAGTCCTCTGGTTCTAGTTCTTTGCTTTATTTATTGTGCTGCTTGTTACAAGTAATGCCAACGTTCCGATGTCAATTTCTGGTCTCTTAGATTAAGAGTTTCAAAGTTTATAAATTTTCACATATTTACTTTTTTTCATAACCGTAAAGTACGGTTATAACGAACCCAAAGGGACTACTAATTTTAGTTCGTTTTAACCGTAGTTCGTTATAAGCATATATACAGCAAATAGTCGGGACCAAAAAAGGAGTTCGTTATATCCATCAGTTCGTTAAAAGCGTGTTCGTTATAACCGTAGTTTACAGTGACAGTGTAAAGTTATTTTAACCAACGATATAGGTATCAAATGAAAACACGATCAGCTAGCTATCCAATGATATATAACATAAGAAAATAAATTAATCTTTATTTCGTTATTATATGAACCTGTATATTTGTCACATAGGACAGAGGTTAATACCCACTGGTGGAACAAACAACATAAAACAGTTACGACTTTTGTAGCCTTTTATATAGAGTGTGATCGTGCATGTTTCAACAAAATGCAGCACATTTCATAGTTTTCTGAAGCCGATTAACGTCCCCAAAACAATGCTAGTGGTTATCCTTTTACAAATCGACCTCCCAAAGAGCTTGTCGGGAGGAGGTGGCCCAGTTGATAATGTGCCAGCTCTGTACCCACTGAGTTTAAGTCCCGGCATTTGACCCATAAGCTAACCAGTTAAACAAGAACTGCAGAATCAACACTCAATAATTCCCAATACCGCACATTTATATCAAAATGCGAATCAACAATATTGAAATTTTCGAATTGTCTGTTTACATGTGCATTGGAATTAGTTCTTGTAGAGTGAATGCAGATGAGTCACATTCCTTTTAGATAAGCACACCATATTATGTGTATTTGTTCTCAATCTTTTATCTTTACATGATCGAGACTTGTATTGTTAGTTGGTTAAGTTGTAACTAAAACCATTTTGATCCCATAGGTAACTGAGAGAAAATAATATAAGGGAAACTAACTTTAATTGGATTTCCACCGTCATTAAATACACTTATTATTTTTAGAGCAAAGGCGATGAAGGGCGCAAGGGCAAGAAAAATAAGACTCTCGATAAGCAAAAAATGTCATTTGTTCTGTGACAGGTTAACTCTTGTCTTGCATCAATATCTTGTGTTGGTAAAACGTAAATATACACCGATCAAATGAATGCGTCGTAACAATAATTGGTCTTGTGAGATTTGATCCGTATCTAGACGAAAGTTTAGATCAGCAAGTAACAGAACTTTCCATCCATACCACAGCTGATCCACACTCCATTTTGAAATTAGTTGTCGGATTAGACCCGTGAAGATCCAGGGTAGAATAGGTCTTCAGCAACCCATGCTTGCCGTAAAAGGCGACTATGCTTGTCGAAAAAAGGCGACTAACGGGATCGGGCGGTCAGGCTCCCTGACTTGGTTGATGCATGTCATCTATCCCAATTGCGTGGATCGATGCTCATGATATTAATCACTGGATTGTCTGGTCCAGACTCGATTATTTACAGACCGCCGTCATATAGCTGGAATATTGCTGAGTGCGGCGTTAAACAACAAACCAACCATCCAAACCAAGTAGTCGGATTAGTACCAACGACTGTCACCTGCCAATCTTAAATCGCATGGCTGCTTGACAAGTACAATTTACACATCCCGTCTCACAATAGTCCGTGAAGATGTTCATTTTTTCCAGGTCGTTTGCAAGAAGATTCAAAAGAACAGTAGGGTGCGCGTATTCATCACGTGTCACGTGGAGGCGAATAATGTCATTCATACCAGGATCATGAAGTAACAGCGTTCTTCTTCTCGGATACTCAACACAATTGTGGGATGACCCGACGTAAATGTAAAAGTATTTTGAGGTGCGATCGCCTATTTGTCTTTTCACCTCTACCCAGTATCTTTGATAATTTGGCAGCTTCTTTTTCCATATATCATAGATCACTTTGTTAAAATCTTCGGTGATAGGTGCCTTCAGTTCCTGTAATCCAAAGTACTCCGCATATTCATTAACCTCTGATGCTCTTTCGGGTGGAGGCATTTTCCCGAATCTCAGAAAGTTGAGGACGTGAACAAACACATCCCCATCTACATCGATGAAGTAGCGGCCATCTTTGTCCTTGGCTATCGGATGTCTTCCACTAAACATGGCGGCCAACATGGAGTCCGGGTACTTGGTGAGGGTGGACAGGGAGGTTGTCAGATGTCGACCACCCACATTTAAGTCAACTACAGCAGGAAACTGAAATGTGGAACAATATAATTATATGGTTATCGCCATCCTGTTGAACATGAATTCACACACGAACAATCTTCTTTCCGTGAAAACGGACAAGATGAGACACAAATCACAAAAGTGTGCAATATTTATGTAATATTATTATATGTCGGAATGTTTATGTTGGTCTAACACTTGGCCATTACCACTTGGTTGCTACTTACAATGCGGATTTTAAATTTACCTTCCCATCTGAGTGTTTACATTCACTTCATTGTTCAAAGGTCACTGTAACGGCATACAAACCATTTGGTCCTTGTAAAGTACATAGATCCTTTATTGTGAAAAACGGGATTGGAAACTGGTGGAAGACAAGATGATATTGGTTTAAAACTAATGTGACAGTACAATGAAAGGGTTAGCTATTGTCAATTTGAAATGAAGTGAGGGTATCGCATGGGTACAATCAACATCATTATTGCAGTATGAGTATTTGACTTTTTTATTGCATAGCAATTTGGTCTTCACTTGTGATTAATGAATTTTCGTTTAAGGTGTATATAATTATTATGTGGTGTACGTGTGTGTGTGCGTGTGTGCTTGCGTGTGCGTGCGTGCTTGCGTGTGCCTGTACTACTTTGGGCGAATGCCGGTTTGTTATTGCTAACGCATTGGGGAATCATACCGCAGTTTAACATGGATACCACACACAGACACGTTATACTGGCTTCGACTTAACCGAACGACAGGCAGTGTAACAACAAATACCGTCTTTTAACGCCTTTGGTGTCACGCCAAGGGATATATTTACCCACCCTCCACACCCTTTACATCAATCGTTATGTTAGTCGAGAAAGCTGGATAGTCAAGACGACTTCTAAGCAAAGAAGCACATCCGCTTTCGGTTTGATTTCGGGGAAGTATGTAGGTCAGTTAGGCTATGCTCTCTGTCCTGACTCTATGTCCACTGTTAATTGACAAAGTTGAACTACTTTTATTTATTACACACTTACCTGTTTTACATATCTGATAGTTAATGATCAATATGCTGTTCATATTACAAATATGTACCTGAACCACCACACAATGTAACAGGACATACTCCTCGCGCTACAGGTGTTTTGGAGCGGAGATCGCGCGATATACTATGTTAAGGCTGCATTGTCATCAGGAAAAAATGAATTAATTAATGCTAGTAATACTTACACTTGAAGACATATTGCGAAGCACCAGATGCTAGATTGATAACAGTGTCCTTGATAATTATAACAGTGTTTGCTGTAATGTCCTTGTACCGACCTGTTCCGTGAGAGATAACGTATGTTGTCACGTGTAGTTTTAAGCTGCACACTGTTCAAAGGTCAATGCAAGTCACGTGACACAACGCAAGTTGACAGCTCAATCGTACAGCTGTTTTCTATCCGTTTCAAATTGTTTTAATTCCTTACAATGGCAGATTGAAACATCAGGCCATACATTCGTTGTTGCAGCATCAGTCGGGGGTATACATACATATACAGCTGCTGTTGTCAAAAGGTGTAAGGTACAGTGGGGTTGTACGTCGTGATTATGTCACATATATAGAGACTTACATGCACGTGGGAGGAGGGGGGGTGGTGGGGATGGGGTGGGGGGATGGGGTGGTGGGGGTGGGGGTGATGGGGGGGGGGGGGGGGGGTGCTTGTGCTTGTTCACTAAATACCCCACACAGACATATTATACTGACTCCTTTTTTCTTCTCCTTAATGTCGAACTCCGGGCAAGGTAACAACAAGTATTTTGGTAGGACGCGTCAGGGAATCAAACCATTGACCACTATACCATGGAGTCGGTTATTTGGAAAGGAGAGGGACATTTTGTGATAATAATCTAACATACAAGTTTGACTGCGGATAATCGCGAAGAAATCTGGAAGTCATGTCTATGTTGTTGAACATGTCAGCAAAAAAGCTGGTAATAATTGTGTAAATGTATACTTAAAATGTCTGATTACCTGTAAAAATCGAAACGTATACAGGGCGATTTCTTCATCGAATGTGATTGGAGTGTTCATCCCTGATGAGGGGGCACGGGTGGCCAAGTCGTCTCAGGCGCCGCGATTCGCTGTGCAGAGTTGCGTCCGTTGGGCACGCCAGAAACCTATGATTGTGGGTTCTAATCCCGGTTCGCCCCGATTATGTTTCTAGGTTTGTCAGCACCATACCTGTGCTCACTCACTCACTCACTCATCCCTGATGACTAACACACAGTACGTAATGTCACAAGCACACACCACCACCGATTTGTGGCAATCTTCAGCTAGCCGGCAAAATAAAAGAGAAACAGGAAGACGTATTTGGTTTCTTTAGAAAGCTTTGAGACCCTAGTTTTCCAAAACGGTGTTTAGAAAGGGACAGGGAATAAGTTCGTATGGCGCGTGACCATACCACTACTACCACGGTGATATTCACCAGGTTTGTTGCTAGCCTAAGATTGGCCGATATTTATATTTTATGACTTAATTCCATCACTATATAAACAAATACACCAGACCTAATATAAAACGGCAACGCTAGAGAATAATCATTCTCGATTATCTACCGAAACAGATTCCATTTAGCGTAAAAGGCAAAATAGTGGTGAAAATAATATTTATGATAACCAAAAATCAGTTATCACACCAGGTGTTCGCAAAAAGGGAAAGCATGTCATGCGACGAAATGCGTCAACAGGCTAGACTATGATGTTCTTTTAGCAGATTTCTTATGATTATGGAAAGCGTTTTTTTAATATCACTCCTTCACCGGTGAATATTCCGGGGTAGAATAGGTCTTCAGCAACCCATACTTGCCGTTAAAGGCGACTATGCTTGTCGTAAAAGGCGACTAACGGGATCGGGTGGTCAGGCTCGCTGACTTGGTTGATGCATGTCATTGATCCCAATTGCGTGGATCAATGTTCATGATATTAATCACTGGATTGTCTGGTCCAGACTCGATTTTTTACAGACCGCCGTCATATAGCTGGAATATTGCTGAGTACTGCGTTAAACAACCAACCAACCAACCAACCAACCAACCAACCTTCACCCGATACTAAATTTGTAACATTGTAGCCGTGTGGCATCACTACCGGAGACATTTCTTTTCACAGTGTTACACGTATGCCTTTGCAGTATAAGTCTGCACCGAATCACAGTCAAATACTGATTTGCGTTAATTCATGGCTGGTGTTCACGCTTCTCACACTGGATGGTCTTCATGATCAAATGTTTGATCTTATATTCGGAATCCTGTTCCTATGCTATAGTCGGAATCGTTCAAAGGGTTCTGGTTTGGGCAGAGACTTTTTTATAGTTATGGAAACGGTTCTGTCCCTTTGATTATACGAGTATGCTGTCGAGTTTGGATTTCGATCACTCATCTCGTCTAAATATGACAGCCGAGGGATGGATTGTTGCCGACCTGTGCTTCTTTTTCACCCTGCACATGTTATTATTAGATCAATTTCACACAAATGTGAGCATGTTATTGTATAACATTTTCAACAATAACAACACAACTTACATATGACACTATTCGAGATATTTCACAGCTTTCTATACTATTTTAACGCAATATAAATAATTAACATATTTGCAGTTTTTGACGTTCCGGCACCATCTATTATCAGAGCAAATATGGTCCCAGACAATTTCTCTTCATAAGGATTGTTTTGAGACAGGCTTCAGATTTAGATACGTTAACATGTCAACCATTTTTTCATTAATTTGGAAAGCAGTGCAGTACGTTCAGTGAGTCATTTAGACAAGTGACGGCATGATGCTTTTGATGATTTAATAATAGAACAACATTGACGACTTATGCGATCATTTTAATTTGAATCAATCAATTTGAATTAATCAAATTAAGAGTCACTGTCAAGGTATTCAACATTTTTCAATTTAGTACCATTTTTTCAGAAAGACCATCTGTGAAGATGTACATGTACTTATTATCATGGGAAAGTATTCATGATTTCTACTGTGTACTGTGAACACGGTGCCAACACTATGTGACGCATGGTTCAAGCTGTTCTGAGCGGATGAACATTGGCCAGACAAATGGCTGTGTCACGGAAATAATCCAGTTCGTCCCTGTATGCATTTTCTTCTGAATCAACTCGATTATGTTCTGTGTAAAAAATACACAATAATTATCGTGGTGAATAAACTAGTACTATCGTGGGTACTGTTCTGTGGCAGTGTTCCTTTACTAAGTTCGAAATTCCATGCACCCCTCTAATGGCACATATCATCCTATTATCCCAGTCCCAATACTGTACTCAAGAAATTGAGTGAGTGAGTGAGTGAGTATGGTTTTACGCCGCTTTTAGCAATATCCCAGCAATATCACGGCGGGGGACACCAGAAATGGGCTTCATACAATGTACCCATGTCGGGAATAGAACCCGGGTCTTCGGCGTGACAAGCGAACGCTTTAACCACTAGGCTACCCGACCGCCCCTCTCAAGAAATTGTATTGTATGCAGCAAAACGCTGAAGCTTTTCGTAACCAATAATATACCATAACATTTTGCACTGAAATGAGAGTAGAAAGGCTAAACAAGAATACTAAACAACAAACATACGTTATCCCCTTCATCTGCCAGAGGGGCACATGAGGCACAAAATATTGAAACACTGTCCCTATAGCAGCATTGGCCCAGACTATATTATTTATCATATTAACACAGACAACACATTGCACTATTCTAGTTGGGTTTCAAATACTAATTGAATTTGCACTTAATGAGTTCTGGAAAGTGTACGAGTATTAAATTTTTATATATTTTTGTTTCCAATTCTTAAAATGAATAATGTCTTTAAATCATATAGCAACGCAGAAGGATAATTAGCGAAGCGAAGCAATTACACAACATTGTCGTATCTATTTAATCTATACGGGTACAAACTCACTTTCTATATATATTGACTATAGGACGTGGCATTGCAGTGCGAGTCTTGTGTACAAGTCACATTGACAAAAACCGGGTTGAATTTCCATTCTGGTATCAACAGATTCGAGGGTTTTCTCCGACCTAAACCATATTATTGTTGATAAATAATTTCACTATGATTTTGCATAATGACCTATAGTTGCGTCAGGGTATTCCTGGCTCAGAATCAACAGTAAGAACAACAGTGTGGCAAAATTATGCTGGTTTAATCATAGGGTACAATATGTGAGGCAAATGCTTTATTTACAACGCTGTGATACGTATGTAATATTGGGAAAAGCAGCCTCAAATCTAAATTACTCATAATTAACATGAAGAAATCGTATACAATTGTCACAACTGTCACCCACAACTGTTTTTTTTGTTTCAAGTAAGAGTCAGTGAGTGAACGGTATTCCTGTTACATCATGGTGTGTCAGATTAATGTGGGAGGAAAGCCCGAAGTGATGCAGTTCGTTTCCGGTGAGAACCTGTACTGAGCTTTGAATAATATTACTGTTCGTGTAAGTTTCTAGAAACGTCAGCAGTCGATTGATGTACACGGTAGATCTACATCGTCCAGGATTATCTCAAGATGTATCTGCATGCTACTCTGCAGTCACAAGAAGATTCTGGTCTGTATGCCTCCTCGGTTTAACGCCGCTTTGAACAGTATTCCAGTTACATCATGGTGTGTCAGACTAATGTGGGAGGAAAGCTCGACGTGATGCAGTTCGTTTCCGGTGGGAAACTGAATTGACCTTTGAATAATATTACTGTTCGTTACTGTTCGTGTTCGTGTTCTTGAAGTGTTACCAGACTGAGTGGATTCGTGTATACGGTAGATCTACATCGTCCAAGATTATCTCAAGATGTATCTGAATGCTACTCTGCACTCGCAGGAAGATTCCGGTCTGTATGCCTCCTCCCCTTCAAGAAAGACATTGATACGTCTCAGGTCATCGTTGAGGAACCTAATGAGAGTGCTTCTCAGGGTTTTCGAGGAGTAGAACGTGACACTGATAACAAGGTGGCCATGAGATATGCCTGCAACGTTACACCGAGAGAACATATGCTTAGAGAGATCCGAGAACTGGATGTAGAAATAGCCATTGTCAAAGTTACAGGTCAGCAATCCATCTCGAACTTGTCGAAGACAAGATTCGTAACCATCTATTTTGCCTTTCCATTTTTCTTTCAAGGATTTCACAAACACTGGCCCCCATTCTTGCTGCCTGTTGCATAATTCCCTTAATCCGAAATGTTCTGCATAGTTCTGCACCGCGAGCGCAGCTTCTGGCGGTGGAAGCGTCTGGAACCTCAGGAAGTTGAGGATGTGTAGAAACGTATCTCCATCTACATCAATGAAGAACCGGCCATC